ATATCGTAATTTAAATTTGAATTTGGCGCTAAATATTTCAGACCAATGAGAATGCCGTATTTCCCTATGGGTTTTATTTGATGTGCGGAATGTTAATATGCCTCCGGGAACGCGGCCTCAAATGTATTTAACATAGGCGTGGCCTATCCATATCTTCATTATCTATGGTGGTTGGGAATAACTGCTGCCCTAGATAATAGATATATTCTCTGTGGTACTGTTAAGACTTACAACATCCCTGAAATACTATATTCGTATCTCTTAATTCTTATCACTAAACAAATTACAAACAAAACCTCGTGTGTCGTACTGCCGTGTACTCGTGTTATTAATTTTATATTTACTTCCCTGCGACGTCAACTTAAGGTTGTCGTTTTATTTTTCTTGTGTTCTACTCTTGTACTTTTGTAACTGAAATATGGGAAGAAAAGCCAAATTCGGTGATGATGGGGCCGTAAAACAAATAAAAGGACCTGGACGGAAAGCAAAAAAACAAAAACCCCCTAAAATGTTACCTGGACTTCCAAAACTCGAAGGTAATATATCTGATACTTGACGGTTATTATTATTTGTAACTATCTCAACTAATACTATTTTAACAATTTCATAGGAGATGATGAGCCAAAAAAGTTAAGCCATCGACAAAAACAAAGGGCTTCCAGAAGAACTAAGAAAAAGGAAGAAAGAAAATTAATTAAAAAAGAAAAGAAGAAAGGCGTTAAAAAAGATGATGATGTTAAAAGTAAAGATTTCTGTTTTTTATTATTTATATCAGGTACATACAAAATAATTGTATGCACCTAAACTTCTTTACATACTAATTTTGTTTTGTCACAAAGACAAATAACCAACTATTTATACACCTTAATTACTATAACATGTTTTATTTTTCAGTTAGAATGTTTTAAATATCTTATAGGTATTCAAATTTGTACGATTTTATAATGTTTTTAATATTTTCACAACTTATTTAGCTTTAGAAATTACTAATTAGAATAGGTTGATTTTGTATACACTATTATTTATTATATTTAAAACAATTTAAGATTTATTAATTTTGTATTTTTTTAGATAGTACTGAAGAATCGGATGCTACTAAGAACATAAAAAGTGAAATTGTTAAACAATTTTCTGATAGTAATAGCAGTTGGTTAAAATCAAAAAACTCTAAATCTGTTATTCCTGAAAAAGGTATGTACCTGTATAATTTTTTTTATTCATAAAAATGTAACATACATATTATTTAATAATGTTAAAATATTTATTGAAGTATACTTACTAATATTTTATTTATTATTTTGCAGATGATGATATAGAAAGTTATGATAGTGATTCAGATCTAAATGATGAAGGAGATGAGGTATAATTTTTACTTAACATTTTTATTTGGGTTATTTATTAAAATTGTTTTGGTATTTTATTACTTAACTAGAAGACACCCTTGAAAACCAGAGGCGGGTAGCTTTAGTCAATTAGTAGGTTCTTTGTCATACTAAACTAACAATAATACATATTAAGTGTCTTTATCACAGTCCAAGTACATGACTTACAAATTTGTTGTGTATGATTTATAGATAAAAGTATTATATTCGTATATTATCTATAAACCCAACTCATCAAGTAATACTTCCACTAACTTATAAATTTTTACCAAGATTATAAAAAACTTTATAGTCGTGGTTGTTATTCTATACCGGGCATCATATTATTGACTGTGTTCTCACTTATCTGCGTGTGCCGTACATCAATTAGATCCAATTACCCTGATAAACGATGCCCCTTCATAGACCTAAACTTCAAAACAATGTTTGACTATTCCGTCAAATCCTGGCGACTTCGCCAGTGTTTTCAGTATATCTAATAACAAAATTTTTTTAAAAAACATTTTTAAATTAAGTGCGTTTGGTTAATTAACTAAGCTCCAAAATTTTTGTTTTTTATGCTTAATAGTTAATAAATTGGTAGAAAAAATAAAAATGTCTAAATTACTGAAGTTCTGTTATCAATGTAGCAAATTTTAAGTAAGTTTAGCTCCAATAGTTTAACCATTAGAGTAAATTGACTCCTTGTAAAATTTTAAGGTGAGATTATTATGTAGGGCTTCATATAGGCTTTTTATTATATTTTAATTCTAAAGCTAGTTATGAGTATTTTAAGATGTAAAAGACAATTAAAACTTTAAAATACTCATATTTCAGTTTAAAATTAAAATGTACAGTTAAAGTATGTCTTGCCCTAGATAATATATCAACTTTATTTTATAAGAGGTCAATTCACTCTAATTTTTAAGCTAATGGAGCTAAATGTAATCTACTCAACTTAAACTTTGCTATGTTCTGCATTTGTTAACAGAAGTAACAAAAATAAGAGTAGTGTCCTCTTAAGGCCATTGGTGCAGACAATTTTTAAGGGGTTTGATTTAGGTATTTTTAAAAATTCCAGTGTGCTCTTGCACACACATGTACAAGTCTCCATCTCCGTGTTGCACGCATGAATGGTACTCTTCGACTAATGGACCTAATAATGCTATAATATTTCAAAATACTGATCTGAATTTATTATAATGTTTACTTGAGATCGATCAATCAATCCACATTTTTAGATTTTTGTTATAAATCCCAAATAATCTACTTAGAAAATTCTGAAATTTCTAATTATTTAAACTTGATTTATAGTGGTTTTTTTGTGGTGGGGAGGGGTGAAATTAAGAAAAATGGACTGACGGATCTTAAGTAGACAATAAAATGTATTATCACACTAATAGGTCGATCCGTATGATTAACAAAATATTGGGATGTTTTAGCTAAAATAACTATCTGCCACTGATAACCTTAGAATAAAGTTATTTGTATTTGGTTGTATTTATTAATAATATAATATTATAATATTTTAGGAAAATGGTTTAGAAAGTTTTGATGAAGATGGACTATCAGATGATGATGACTATCTGGTAATTTATATGTTATAATTTTTAAAGCTGACAGCTGAACTAATATTAATTTATATAGGCAGGTACATTGGATGATGTTGATAGTTCAAATGAATCTGGAATCGAAGATACAGTTCTTAAAAAGAAAAAAGCTTCCTCAAAGAAAAGAAAGGCAGAAGAAAGTGATGATGAATTATTACCAATTGAAAAAGCAGCTAAGAAATTAAAAGCTGCAAAAAAAAAAGAAGAGTACATACAATTTAATTTAATAATTATTGTTTATTGCGATCTTTTAGCTATTATTATTTTATTAATTCTTGACAATAATTAGTGCTGAAGCCAATGAGGAAATGAAAATGCAAATTAATGT